CTGGTGGCTCAGGATGCCAGTAGCCAGTGTCCAAGAGGCCAGGGCTGAGGCTTCTGAGGAGCCCTGCTGCTGTCACAGTCTGTCAGTCACACACAGGAAAGCTAGCCCGGGTCCACTGCGTGGGGAGTTAGTTTCCACCTTTCTGGGGAATGAGTTTCAAAAGAACTTTTGACTCTCTTTACTACAAAGGCGCAGCAGAATGTTGTCATATATACCAGTGTTTATTTTTGAAGTCTCATCTGACCAGGGAAAAAACTTCAGAGGTTAGTAAATTCAAGGCTTTTTTTCCCCCTCTCTCTAAGGCTAAGAAACTCTTGTTTACTGCTTTGTTTTTATATTGGGAATGTCTTAGTATTTTTCAACTTACAGGCTACATGAAGGGACTAGAGGAAACATACAGGATATTGTTAGATGAGCTAAAATAAACACCATCTACAGCTTGACCTTCAACAAGTGAAATGAGGCAGATGTGACCTTTGCTCTAATGGTAGGCCTTCAGAGAGAGGCTGTTTTTTTTTCCTTTTTTAGGACTGTCCAGCCACTTGACTGATTCACAAACTTGCCCACATTTAAGTATGTAATTGCGATGGGGCTACATGGTAAAGTTAGGCCCGAGTGATCTCCACAGTAATGCTCTAGATGGCCCCAGTCCCATGACAGGAGATTCCTGCAGTCCTGTAACTCTTCCAGGAAGCAAGCTAGAGGCAGAGAATCCCTGCCTCGATGCCCTCAGGAAGTAGAAGGGCACACACTTCTCCGGGTTTGTGTGCCTGGGCATATTTTTGCAGGGTTAGAATTTTTAAGCTGTTGTCGTCTTAATCCAAGCAAAGAAAAATGCTCCGCTGTCCACTTGTCCTGACACTGGGATCTAGCTGCTTTGTGTAAAGTACAATCTGGCATGTCATCTGTGTTGCATTTTCATGCGAATCTGAACTTAACAGAGGAAGAGGGTGTCCCTGCTCACTGTTCAATCCTGTAAACCACTGGGAACTCAGACTTGATGGCGCGCTGCCCCAGTTGAAAAGACGGAAAGCCTATGTGACCTGGGAGACAGCCCTGAGCAGCCCTCCCTGTTGGGCCAGAGAGCACCATTAATTTGATCTCCGTAGCTCGGGAGGCCTTCTATATGTGGGTTTTAGAAATAACTTCTAAACTTAGTCTTAATGATTTCAGAGCACCAGTACATACTGAGACTGGGGAACAGGAAACAATGAATAGATATTCAGTGGGTTGATGAATTTAGGTCCTTGGATTAAAAACTCCAACTCTACTTTTCTCCCTGGGTTATTAAACAGGAGGCTTTTTCTTGGTCATTAAATTGTGTTAAGGTTAGCCTCAGACTTTAAGCATGTGATTTTGGGGGGCCACCCTGTGGCATGGTGCTTAAGACAGCTGGATCCCACATGGCTGTCTACATAGTCAAATCCCAGACCTGGCAACTTGGGAAAAAAAAAAAATGTTGGGCATGGTGTGTGTGTCCAGAATCCTAAAAGGAGAAACGGAGGAGAAAGGATTGTGTATGACCATCCCCCATGGGGGGTGCTTTCTCTCTCCCCTCTGCCCTCTGTCTCCAGCAAGCACACTCACCCTGTAGCGTTTTTTTTTTTTTTTCATTGATTTTGGTCGTGGGCTACTTTGTCACAATTGCTTTAATAATGCTTCTAAAGGCATTGTGATCATACTACTATTTTTTTTTTTTTTTTTTTTTTTTTTTTTTACTGTAGTAAATACATAAAATTTGACGTATTACCCTCTTATTAAGAAAAGTTTATTTCTTTTGAGGGAGTGAAGGGAGGGAGGCAGGGATTTATGTATCACCTTTTGGTGGACATTTGAGTTGTGTTTACCTGGTGGCTGTTGTAAAGAGTGCTCTGATGAGCACAAATACAAGTTACCTATTCAGATGCCTGCTTTCAGTTCTTTAGGGTGGGCACCTAGAAGTAGAATTGCTAGATTATGTAGTAATTCTATGTTTGATTTTTTGAGGAACTACCATGCTGTCATCCACAGTGGCTGCACCATTTTACCTTTCCATCTTCAGGACACAGGGTTCAATTTTCTGCATCCTTACCAGTACTTGCTTTCTGTTTTGTTTTTGTTTTTGTTTTGATAGTAATTATCCCAGTGAGTGTGAAGTGGTAGTTAATTGTGGTTTGGATTCTCATTTCCCTAAGAAAATTTATTTTTTGTGTATTTTCACTCTTTCATATTTGAAAATACCATTATTATTTTTAGATTTCTGCCGTAGAGTGTATGCACTCACTCACCAGAGACAGGGAAAGTGAGAAATCAGCCCCCTGGGGTATGGCCATGCCACAATCCCTTCTCCTCCTATCTCCCCTTGGGATTTTGGACTTGCATGCACATGAGCCCAGTGTGATTTTCAAACCGTTGGATCCACCATATGAGAGGCCAGCATCATAACCACCATGCCAGCTGCTGGCCTGAATATGTATTATTTCAAATTTATGGACACATATGAGCAATGTAAAAAAAATATCCTTTAAGGGAACCAGCAGTTAGCGTAATGGCTATGTCGCTGAACTCCCACATAGTCGACCGCAGTTCGCGTCCTGGACCTGGTGGCTTAAAACTCACGTTGGGCGCGTGTGCGTGCGTGCCCAAGATCCCGAGAGGAGAATGGAGGAGAAGGGATTGTGGCGTGACCATCCCCCCTGGGGGGTGATTTCTCACTTTCTGTCTCTATGTCTCTCTCTGTCTGTCTGGCGAGCGCACGTGCCCTATAGCGAAAACCTCTCCAAAAAAAAAAAAAATCCTTTAAGAAACAGTTGGCAGAGTCAACTAAACTAATTCTACTTAACAGCTATTTAAGAGGATTATAGCACTTTATTTCTATTGAGTTTTACTGTTACATTTTTTGCTTTTTGTGTAAGACAGTCTCACTGTGTCATGATCCTCTGCCTCAGTCTCGTGAGCAGCTTATTCTAGAGACAGACTTCACTACACCCAGCTCTTTCTGACAGTCTTACCTGTGCCTGGAGCTCATGGCCCTCCTGCCTCAGCCTCCTTAGACACTGGGAGTACAGGTGCACAACACTGCATCTAGCCTCTAGGTTGGGCCAGGAATCGAACCCAGGCTTCCCATGTGGTCCCAGCCTGTGGAGCATAGCATCTTAACAGTCGGTACATGCCATAACAGCTGGGCCAAATCTTTGAAGTGTAAAATCTCTCTTAGGCAAATGGCATTTTACTTCTTTGTAATAAACGGTTACGTGGTTTGGGTTAGGCTGCACGTGATTTTGTTATTGTTAGAATTCATATACACACATTTTAAATCGGGAATATTGAAAATGGCAAATGCCAGTCAGGCTAGATGTTTCAAAAGTTGGATGTTGACTTAAGAAGTCTGTCACTCCTCATTACATGCTCCTTTGTAGACAGTCTTCATTTCCTTGAGTCTCTAGAGGAAGACACTATAAAGTTGAAGCTTAGCTCCCACGTGTATCTAACATGGGACTTCATTCCCAGAAATGGAGCTGTTGGCTAGTGACCTGTGCTTACTGTCAGGTCAGGGTGTGAAATTAGACAGAACCAAGTACTTTAAATTGAGACTCGGGAATTTTAGGTTCTTCTGTTTGCTTCATTTCTTTACATAGTTAAAAACATAACACATATTTTGTATTGTTTACTATAGACTTACAAAATTGTGAGTCTTGAAGCTGAAATTTTTTCTTTCTTTTTTTTTTTTAATTGCCAAAGAGTACTTATGGGGGGTGGGGAGAGGGAGAAAGCACCGCCTAGTGGGTGTTATGCCACAATCCCTTTTCCTCCATTCCTCCATCTCTTTAGGATTTGGAGCACTTACGCACCTGTACCAGCTTTCCCCTCCCCCCAGAGGTTTTTGCCTTAGAGCATGTATGCTTGCTGGAGAGAGACAGAGACAGTGAGAGGGGAAGTGTGAAATTACTTCACACGGGGAATGGCCACACCGCAGTCCCTTCTTGATCAGGATCTTGGGCACACATACACATGTGCCTGGTGTGAGTTTCAAGCCACTGGTCCAGACTTGAAAAACAGTTAGCCACGTGGGACTTCAGTGATGTAACCACTATGCTATCTGCTGGCTTTAACACCATGTTTTTCAAGCTGATGAGGCCAGGAGTCACACAGTGGGATCTGGCCCCCTTAACTCAAGATTAAGTACTGTGCATAGAGCCAGCCCTGAAATGATTTTGACATGAGTAGTGCTTTGGGATTCTGAACGTGAAGGAGGGTCAGGTGTGAGTGTGGTACAGCGCTGATCCAGGCTCTTTTATTTCTGACGTAGCCAGTGCGTTAGGGTAGCAGACGTATTATTGTGCTTGAATCTTAGAGAGCCTGTGTCAGGTTGGCCTGCTCTTTCTCACTCCGAGCAGCAGACCTCTGGGCATAAACTTTATTTGAGCTCACTGGCGACTGGCTGAGCAATCGCAGTCAGGGTTAGCACTCAGGTGCTGTTAGATGACTGCATTTCAGTGGCAGCTCACTGTTCACACACGCTCTTGTTTAGAAGGGTTTTGGCCCATATCGACAGTGCCTTTTATAAAGCTGCTTACTACTAAAACATCTTGATAGACGCATTTAGAAAAAGCAGTGAGTAAAATCGTGGAATGGTTAAGGTGAACGGTACAAACGCCCTTAACCTCTGGAGGATTAGAGGGTAACATTTATATACGCATTCCTTCAGTGAGATTCTGCCTCACTGTAGTGTGGAACTGACATTGGCAGCTCCGAATAGCAATATGCAGTGTGTTCTGTCTCAGGACAGCTGGATAGCAAATACCTGATAGAATCGCTGTTCCATGAAGGTGGAAATCAATACTTCGACTTGCTGCCTTGCCCTTTGTGTCTTTTTGCCCTTAGTGTATAGCCACCTAGTAGATCTCTAAAAATTGTGATTCAGATGGTTATTATTAAAACTTAAGACTTTATTCTGGTTTATTTCATGGGGTTTATTAGTCTGTGGTGTAGAGTAACTCGTCCCCCTCTTTCTGATCTAGAACAACTCTGCTCATGGTGATTACATGCCAAGTAACGAGGCCAGTTTACAAGAACAAGCCCCAGTACCTCAGGATGGACTTAGCACAGCACCTCATAGAGCTCAGCGAGAAGGTATGCTATATTTCCTGCCAACTTCAAGTACCAGTACTTCAAAACACTGCATGGTCTCTTAACTCGTCACTGTCCTTTTCAGAGTAGACAAACCCTGCTCTCCTGGTCCTGGGTTTCACTCCAAAGTCTGCCCTCCCAGTCCTGCCTGTCCACATTGTGGCCTCCACCCTGCTCTGCAGCCCTTGGCTTGTCCCACATGCGCTGTTCCTCTGGTAGTCAGTTGCCTTTTGGGTTTTATCTTAAACTTGCTTGTGTGCTTCTGGAGAGCAAAGACCCTGTCTTATTCCTAAAGTATTTAGTGTAGTGTTTTATCTGTAGAGTGCTCAGTGTCTACTGGAAAAAAAAAAAAGAATAACAAAGTTTCACAAACATTCACCCTAGGAGAGTGACTTAACCGTCTAACAAATCATTCTTCCTGCAGTAAAACAGTTTTTAAGAGGGCTGGGATGGATGAGAGCACATTGCCATCTAATAGGAAACAAGTTCAGATACTTTTTCGCACTGGAGAGCCCATTAGCCTGTGTTGGGAGGAAATTTGAAATGGAAAATATAGACTGGAACATAGCGTTCGAAAGAGCCAGGGGTACACGGTCAGTCCCATGCTCGGAACGATTTTGAATTTATGTCATCATGTCTCCTTTCAGTCCCTGTAATCATTCTTTTTGTGTAATACATTTTTCCTCATAGAGGAAAAACAAGTCTGAATGTTTTTTTTTAAGTTGACATAATTCCCCTTCTGCTCAAGACTTGCAGTACTTGTCTCTCCAACCAGCTTCTCAGTCAGAATACTTGAGCTGAGCTCACCGAACATGTGAATAACCCAAAGCAGAATTTGTCTTCCAAAGAAGGTCCTTTTTTCTTTGATAAAAATATTTTAGAAAAACAAAGACTACCAAAATACGAATGGTTAACCGTAGACTATAGATGATTTTTCCTATTTGAGTGGGTTTCAGAAAGTTCATGGAATAATGGAATTAAAGTATGTTTATTTTGGTGCAAAATTAATTTGAAGTTCATGCATCATTTTTTCATAAGTTATATTTCCCTTGAACTTTTGAAGACCCCTTTATTTCTAACTTTTTTTTTTGGGGGGGGTAAAGAGAGAGAGTGTGACTGTAAGTGTAGGGGCTGGGGAGGTGGATATTTTCGACAGGGTTTTGCAGTTGAGAGGCTCTGCCCCAGCCTTCCAGTTAGCTAGGGCCACAGGCATCTGTTCGGGTTGGTGAGGAATCTGAACCCAGGCCTCCCCAGGGCCCCAGTCTTACAGGGCAGCACTATCACTTGTGCCACCCAGCTGGTCCTGTTCCTAATTTTTTTTTTTTTTTTTTAAGAGAGATCTTTACTGTAGGGCACATACACTTGCCAGAGAGACAGAAAGTGAGAAATCACTCCCAAAGGGGATGGCCATGCTGCAGGCTCCTCTCCTCTCCTCTCCTCTCCTCTCCTCTCCTCTCTCCTGTCCTGTCCTGTCCTGTCCTGTCCTGTCCTGTCCTCTCTTTCTGGGAATCTGAGCATGTGTACACTCCTGACCAGCATGAGTTTCAAGCTGCCAGGTCTGGGACTCGAACCGTGGTCAGTCATGTGGGAGTCCAGCGCCTTAACCACTACATCGAGTGTTTATAACTTATACTTTTTAGTCTAGTTGTGAGGGTTAGAGGTGCTTTCATCACCATTTCTTGTCACATTCTCTTGTATTGATTCTGATAGATAACAGGTATAACTTACAGTCAAGGCTGAAGCCACAGCCATGTTCCCATACCCTGTAATGTCACAGTGGCTTTTTCTACTAAGCTAAACTGGGGTCTGATCAAAAACAACAACAACAACAACAACAAAACAAGGACCCTTCTCCATGCCCAGTGATTTGCAGAAATGGAGCCACTTCGTTTCTCCACATAGATTAGTTCAGAGGTTTTTATTTAATCACATCATCCTTCAGATAATTTAGCTTTTGGAACCATCAGATCCTGCCATCCCCACTGTGGCCTTTGTAGTCTTGCATGGTTCTGAGGAGGGACAGGCTCTTACCTGGCCTTTGATATTTTCCTTTGTCTCCATCCTCCATATTTCTGGCCCACCAAGGGGAAACTGGCCCCGAAGCAGGTCACTAAATGCTATATAATTGGAAACTTGGCCCAGTATAGTGCTAATGGGCTCCCCCTTGCTCCCCTTTATTTTAATTTGCCAGAGGGCATGTGTCCTACTACCCACCGGGAGAGGGAGAAAGCACCCCACATGGGACATGGTCATGCCACAGTCCCTTCTCCTTTCTTCATCCTGTCAGGATTGGAGCACACACACACACACACATGTGCCTGGCATGTTTTTCAGGCCACCAGATCTAGGATTAGAACAGGATTTGGCTCCCTTAACCACTAGCCAGGGCACCAGCCCACCCGCCTTTGTGTAAATGTCTATTTCTTGCTGTTTCTATGTCTCATGCTTTACGGCTTCTCTGGCCACTTCCCATGGTCTGCAACAATCTTACTTCCTCCTCGACTTTTGTCATTGTGTGTTCTCTACTTCATCCACTACAGCTTCTTCTCCGAGGCAGAGTGAAGCTGCCTCCTTTCTTCCCTGTATCCTCCCCTGCCCCAGTCCAGCACCCTCTTCTGAGTTGTTTTCCCAACCGGTTCCCTTCAGCCTTTATCATATTCACCGTTACCAGCCTCTGGTATTGCCACCCTCGTTCTCTGTAAGTCCTGCTTCTCTCCCATGTCCTGAGCAGCGTTTTTTTCCCTTAAGTCCTTGTATTACATTCAGTAGATTAGCTCTTTTCCAATTGGCTTTTTTTTCAATTTGATTTATTTCCCAAGATGATACTTCCGCTAAAGGAGATACAAGATGAGTAGTTGGGGGATTTGTACTGTATATTTGCTTAACTTCAGGAATTAGCTGATTATCTAGTTCAATTCAGAGGGTTTTTTAAAAGTTTAATTTATATCCACTGTTTTACGAAATTTCACTACAGTGAATCTTTATAGTTCATCACATTGTTCACCTTGTATTATAATTTGTTATTACTTCATATTAAAGATCACATTTTAGAAAAATGATTTAAACTCCCAATTCGAAATTTATTGTTTTTAATGATTTGTTTTTCTATCTAGTTATTTTCTGTAGTTTATTTCAAGCCACTGAGTCCAGGACTCAAACTATGGTTGACCATGTGAAAGTCTAGCACTTTAACTACCATGCTACCTGCTAGCCCCCCCCAATCAAATTTTTATCAGGAACCAGCAGGTAGTGTAGTGGTTAAGGTACTGAACTCCCCTGTTGCTGACTTCAGTTCAAGTTCTAGACCTGGCAGCTTGCTTTGTCACTTTGCTTCTTTCTTTCTCTCTCTGGTAAGTGTGTATTCTCTATAGCAAACGTAAAAACAATAATGATGATTGTGGACCAGCAGATGGTGTAATAATGTTATGTTGCTGGACTCCCATGTAACTGACCACGGTTCAAGTCCCAGACCCAGTGGCCTAAAACTCACATCAGGTGCATGTGTATGTGTACCCAAAATCCTCAGAGGAGAACGGAAGAGAAGGGATTGTGACGTGGCCCTCTCTTCTGGGGGTAATTTCTTGCCTTCTGCCTCTCTCTCTCTCTTTCTCTCCAACAACTGGATGTGCCCTATAGCGGAAACCTCTAAAAAAAAATGATTAATAAAATTAAATCATTCTTTTAAAAAATCTTTTTTATCAGCTTGGCACATTACTTTTTGAGAAGTCCCCCCAAAACAAACAAACAAAACCTGCTAGATACAAGTAATTGAACCACATTTCACTGATCCCAAAGTTGTATTGTGGTAATCTGAATAAAACTTTTCAAGGTTTATCATTTAGATAATATCTCTAGTGCAGATCTTTATTATTCGTCTTTTTTTCTCTTTGGTTTTAGAGTCCTTAAAGTTGTTCGGGCACTCAGCAGGTTGAAGTGACATAGAGAAAAATGACCTTCTGGGTTGTTGGCATATTACAATGCTTCTGGAATTTGGGAGTTTGCTTTTTGTGGTTGTGATTTGAGGCCTGTAGTAATGGTGAAAATAAATGGCTTAATGAGCATTTATGAAATTGTAAGGTTACTCTAGGTCACAAAAATGTGTTTCTAGTCTCTCTAGAAAAGTCAGTATGTGTGTGTGTGTTTGTTTTGTTTTGTTTTTCAGCTGTACACATCGAGAAGATAATGTTGAAAGGAGTCCAGAGAAAAAGGGCTGACAAATACTGGGAGTACACTTTCAAAGTAAGCCAACCTCACGAGAGATACCTTATAGACTGTGTTAGATGCTTTTTGAGAAAACTTATGGCAGGTGTGTTAATTTAAAGGAAAAAACTGCCTGTGTGTGTTTTTTGATTGGAGCATGTGCTGTTTTTAGTATGTACTGTGTGGTTTACCAGATTTTATGTGGTATCCCACTAAAATTACCCTGGCAATTTTATCAGAAAGAAGGAAGAGCCTTAGCGTCAGGCAGACAACTAGGGAGTGAGGTGTGTCTTTAAGAATTCGCAGCGAACACTGTTGCCTTCGTGTCACAGCCAGGACCCTGGTGCTGGCCTTCTTGCGCTGACCTCCCTGGCCACTCTCGTGCTCTCCTTTCTCTGAGAAGTGCTTGCTCCCTGCCTTGCGTTGTCTTCTGGCCTGCCTGTGACTGCCTCCTGCCATCTGTCCTTCAGATGGCTCAGCTCTGGCTCCGGTACCGCCCACGCCTCCTTTCTGCCTGTCGACTGGGACATGGTTCCCTGTCCATCTTCCTCGCTCCTCCTGCTTGGGCTTCACTGTCCAGTCCTTCCTCCTCAGGTTGACGGCACACACCCCGAAGCCAGATGGAGTGGCGCCAGCTCCTCCACTTCCTCGCTTCTGTCCTCCCCACAGGCATTGCTTGCCAAATTTTAGTTCCTTGAAGGAGTCCTTTCTGACCCTCCACAGAGCGCTTCCTCCTCCATTTTGAGGTATGCTACATCATAGCCTTCACAGACCTTTCCAGTAGGTTCTCATCTTGTGGGAGCAGGACCCTGCGTCACCTGCCATCCCACCGTGCCAACCTGCTCAGGACGCTTGTGGAATGAATCTTCGAACTCTGGCTTCTGCTCAGAGGGAAGGATGTCTTTCGTTTGTGAGTTTTCAGTCCTCACCTCCACGTTCCTCAGTTGTGACCCATGTTCACTCTGCCACTGTGCCAGCCACACCGGCTCCCCCTCCTCTGCTCACTGGCCAGCCACGCCGGCTCTCCCTCCTCTCGTCGCTGGAGCTTGTCATCATGCCTTCCTGAGGCCCACTGGCCACTCCCCCCAGACTGAGGGCCTTCTCCTCACCCCAGCTGATGCATGTCTCCTGCTCGGGCACCAGCCCGGCTTATGTTCTCAGAGCTCTGACCGCTGATGGGAATTCTCGTGTATTCGTTGGTTCCTGCCGTTGCTTGCACTAGACTATGTGCTCAGCCAGCAGAGACTCCCACTGACCAGTCTGTTCCTGATCCCCCAACACAGGTTCAGAGTGGGTCCAGAGTAGCTGCTTAACAGACATGAATATTTAAAAGCCTCTTAGGAAATGCTTCAGTTTAATGAAGACATTGTTTTGAGAGCTATTGGATAGAATTTCATGCGTATCTCTTAGTATGTGTTTATGATATGATTAGTGGGTAAGGTGTAGGTATTAGCATAACCCAACTAGTTATTTAGCTCGAACAATTGTAGAGTAGAAATTATTAGCGGCCACAGTCGAGTCCACTGAGTCGAAAGTATCCGGGGTAGGACAGCGCAGTAGATCCCTTTCTGGCACTGCTCTCATGGGGAAGCAGACCCTCCCTAAGTTCTGTGTGAGCTTTAATCTCTCCACCTGAAAATGGAGTGATCACACCTGCCCTGCGTGTCTTTGTAGGGTTTTAAAGTTCTGAGATACCGATGAAATCTCTTCATAAACCATAAGTCTTCACAAATTTATGAAATGGTACTACCAAAGAGGGGCATAAACACGAGCTATTTCTCTTAGGAACGTGTATCTAGTATGTTTCAGGAGATGGAATTTTACCTTTTGGAAGGGCACAGAATCTGCACTGTCAAAGTATCATTTTAGAAACTTAGAGCTTCACAAAAAAGAACATAAGACATTTCCCTTCGTAAAAAATGGCTAAAACGTCATATTTTAGGATAGCTTTATTAAAAAGATGGAATTCGAAAAGAGTTATTAGAAAAACTTTTTGAGTAGAATATGTCAATATACAGTTAACATTAATAGTTTAGAAGGTATGACAATGCCAGTTTAATTTTATATTTCTAATTGTTCTTAATAAGATTTAAATAAGGCCCTTTGTTTTACACATGACTTTTTTCTAATGGGTTCCTGCCTAAGGACTAGCCATGTCATATGTGTGTGTTTCTTTTTTTTAATTAGGTAAATTGGTCTGATCTTTCAGTCACAACAGTAACAAAAACCCACCAAGAACTACAGGAATTTCTACTGAAGGTAAAAATACAGATTTTGTTGTTAATCTAATTTTTACATAATACATTCTTTCAGAAACCTCAGTGTCAAAATGAACACTAGGAAAATGAACACACTTAGATGAAGATTGCCCGAGAACCCTGACTGAACACTGTTATCCTGAACACACATAACTTCTCTTACCTTTCCTTACCAACATAAAGAAACGATGAGGTTTCCACATTTTTCAAAGATCAAATCATATTCCTAGTTCCTTGCAGCGGTGTGCATTGTTGGTGGCTGTGTGCAGGGGCACTTCCTGTGACAGTGTGTCTGCCAAGTGTGATGAGGCTCGATCTCCTCTGGTAGTGCTTCTAGACCTCACAGCCATTTAGCCTTAATAGCCTTAAATAGTTCTCCATTTCTTCTGTGAGATCTGGCTTCCCACGACCCCCGTGTGACAGAATCTCCAAACTGCTGGGAATAAGAAAATGGAAATATTTTATACAAAATGCACAGGTGAAAAATATCTTAGATTGGGACCAGCAGTTAGCGTAATGGCTATGTTGCTGGACTCCCATGTAGTCGACCATGGTTTGAGTCCCAGACCCGGTGGCTTAAACTCACGCCGGGTGCATGCCCAAGATCCCGAGAGGAGAATGGAGGAGAACGGATTGCAGCGTGGCCATCCCCTCTGGGGGGTGATTTCTTGCTTTCTGTCTGTCTGTCTTTGTCTGTCTGGTGAGTGCATGCACCCTATAGCAAAAACCTCTCCCAAAAAAAAAAGAAAAAAAGAAAAAAAAAACTTAGATCATTTTATTCAAATACTTGTTTTGTTTTTGTTTTTGTTTTTTTTTTTAAATCAATGTCATTTTAGTGAAATGGGGAGAAATACCGAATCATCAAAAAAGTCATGACACATTTTTTAATAGAAAAGCAGAAAAATACATTATGACTTTGCTGACAGCCCAATAAATATTGACAAGAGAGAATAGGTTTAGATGATAAATAAATTACTGTTTCTCAATAAGCAAGTATTTTAAGCTTTCATTGTTAATAGGGAGATAAAGTAGAATGTCTAGAAATAGGAAGCATTTCCAACTCAATTACAGAGTTCTGGGTAAAGGTGTAGTTACCAAGCCTAGAACATCCAAAGTTTTCAGTCTAGGACTGGTTTTCAAGTTGTCTGCTTGTTCGCATAAGTATAGTCTTTTCAGATCGTGTGTGTCTCCATTTATAAATCTTGAAGTCTTTTTTTATCAATTCGCCGAGGTTTAAGCAGCAGTTAGAAGCTGGTTCTTTGAGACAAACAGTTTGATACACCATTACAGTGTGCTCACCTGGATTCCTGTTGGCTCCTCTGAGCCAAGTAGTACCCAGGGTTGTTTGTGAACAGTTCATGTTCCCGTGGCATCTTTAAAAACGAGGCTCTCGCAGTTAAGGGCCAAGAACTCCTTCCCCGGTTCAGAGTGACTTGCCTGGATATAATGGGGGAGGCAACTTTCGTTCCTTTCTGGTTGCCCAAGGCCCTATGCCTGTGACAAGCCTGCTCTGGATAGGTTGGTGAGGGACAGGAGAAGGTAGGAGTGGATCCCAGAGCACTGGCGTCTATCTGCAGTCATGGCCATGGGCATGGGCATAACGATGCCTGGAAGCGCCTGGCTCATGCACCCTACTGAAGAGCAGGGAGTGTTGATAATGGAGGGAGGAGTGTAGGCTGCCCAGCCCACTTCCACGCTTTTCAACCTTCTCGTACTTATTTCTAACTTCCCTGTCTCTTGGTATAATCTCTTTAGGTTAGGGAACCACGTGCTTCCGTGGCTCCTTTTTTCTCTGCGGTCCCTTCCTTGGCAGGATCTAGTGCTGCAGGGCTCAGAGCCATGGCTGGGATTCCTGGAGTGGGGCCTGGCACTGCCACTTGTCAGGGCCTCCTCACTTGATGGCAGTGTGTGTGGGACACTGCCCCATGTCCATCGCACTGGGAGAGGGAGCTGTGAGAGTACAGGACCCACCCAGGACCTCCCCGCCCCGGTCTCCTCTCTCCTACTAGGCCTCTCCCCAGAGCCTCAGCCATTGTGTCTTGACAGATGTCGCTTTTGCAGTCACATATAATTTTCAAACATTTAGGTGCTTTGGCTGAAGGAGTAGAGTCTGAGGAAGGACATTAAGGAGAAAAACAGAGAGGCATAGCATCAATGGGACAAAGAAATGGAGTATTATCTGTTGAAGATAACTTTATAGTATTATCTACTGGACTGGGGAGAAATGCACACATGTTGGAATATTCATTTTGCAAGCTAAATAATGTGACTGAATGTATAAAAGAACTTTAAATTAATAAAATATTAAAAATACAGCTCCAAATAAGTAATTTGCTCGTCAGAATCGTAGTAATAAACGATCTGCTTGCTTGGGTAGTATTTTAATACAGCTTTGTACTCTGAAACAGTGTAAATGCCTCCCAGAATAGTCCGCTACATTGTGCACTTGTAGAAACGGATTGCCTGTGGCAAATACCTTTCAGGTTTACCATATTCTTGTTTCCTTTTTACCTGCCTTTAATGTCATCTACAAAACTTCAGAGCACACCTGTGCTCTTGGCACCCTGTGAGGACTGCCACCCGTTAACTGTGAGGGTTGCTGTTGAGCTGTACTAGCAGTTGCTGTCCTGGGAAATGGGAGTCAGCCATTGCCTTCAGGTCCTGTCTTCAGTGTCACCTCCACCTCCTGGCCTCTTCCCATGTCATTTTTCTTCTATTTTGTTTCCTTCTCATGACCAGAATGTCCACCCCACATGGGCAGGGTGTAAATTAACAGTTTATATAAATTTTAATATTCCCATGGCTCCTTTGATACTATATTAATGGTTCTACTCTTAGCACATGTGCCAGTAATTCAGAACTTAATAGCAAAGACCAGTTACTGAATATCCAGTTCAGAACTTCGAATTCTTGGAAGAACTGAAAAGTTTGTTTTACAAAGAATCCATTTATTGGGAATTGAGAAAAACAAAGTGGCTAGTCGGGCACGGTGCTGCGGGCCTGCCGTCTCAGCTGCTCAGGGAGCCGGGACCTGGAGATCGTGAGCTTGAGGCCAATGTGGCAACATAGAAAGACCTAGTTTGTCTCTTTAAAAAAAAAAAAAAGGAGAAGAAGTAAACTATAAAATGACAAAGTTTTATTTTTAACTCTAAATTTTTGGCCATGTAGTGATTTGTGTGTGTGTGTATTGCACTGAGGGCACCATCAACACATGGAGGAAAAGGTTAACAAACCTCCAACTAGTGTGTTTTTTATAAGCAAAATTGAGAGTTTCCCCCCATCTTTCACATTCAGTTCTCCTTTTGCTGCTTAGCTCTGGTGGACCGGCATTGTCCGAGAAGTAGTGTAGGACAGGACCCACGGTGATGACCGTGAAGGCACCACTGCAGTCAGAGCAGTACCAGCCGAGCTGCACGAGACGTCCAGCATGCCCTGCGAGCCTTGGTGTGGGTACTGTTTCCGTGTAGCGTGTCTCAGGAGCACGTGGGATGCTGTGGGTTACTTTGCACCTTGGGGAGCCCCAAGGTAGGACTGGGAGAACACGTTGCACTTCCTAGTAGAAAGATCTGTACTGCGTCTGTGTGCCAGGAGATGCTGCGGGGAGGGACATTTGGAAAAGGAATTGCTTTTGGGTGATTAATGAGCAGGAGGCTTTTATATTCATTTTGTGTATCTGATTTGGAACATATTTACCAGTAAGTGAGAAACTTAACGTTAGACATTGTGTTTTCCTTTTTAGCTTCCAAAGGAATTGTCTTCGGAGACTTTTGACAAGACTATCTTAAGAGCCCTGAATCAGGGTTCTTTGAAAAGGGAGGAGCGGCGCCATTCTGACCTGGAGCCTATCCTAAGGTAACAGTTTGCCCAGCACCCAGTGTAACAGCAGAATTGCAGGGAGACGGCCTTTGAAGGGAGACCAGAGACGTTCTCTGGGGTACTTTCAGTCCTTGTGTTACTTAAGTAAGTCTAGGCTCACACAGTCACATACACCAAACTAATTTTACTATTTTGCTCTTCAGTTCTCCGATGATGTCATATTAAATTTGCTTCTAAAACATGCAAATATTGAGGAAAACCTCTTATCTTCTGCATAAAATACTTAGTGAAAGAGGCCTTTTTCCAAGAGCTCAACTTTGGAGGTGTTACTTCTGGTGTTGTCAAGTAAGATCAGGCGGATGGATGGGAAGTGTAGGGACAGCAGTTCATGAGGGAGCCCCTGGCCCACTGTGGGTTCTTCAGGACCGTGGTGTTGACTAACGTCCTGGTCCTTGGCCTGTGAGGTTGTTGGGCCATTACAAAGGAGGTGGTGAGCGTTCCGTGTGCTGCTGGGGCATGCCGACCCTGACTTGAGTTAGCTCCCAGAGCCCCCAGGTGCCCGCAGGGAGAGGAAGAAATTGAGGATGAGGCAAGGTGGGTCACTGGGAGAGCCAGGTCCCTGCGTAGAGAGAGTGACACAGCACCCTCACAGGTCTCAAGGGCGTGGTCACTCCCAGCTGGGCCTGGGTCACGGGCAGGCATGTGCCAGCGTATTCAGGGAGGTCTCTGCACTTGAACCAGGAGCCCTTCCATGTGGCATTGCCTCAAAGAGCATTTCATTTTCTTGCCATGTTGCCATCTGGGCCCCTGTTGTGTGACTTTTATTATTATTTTTTTAATCTTTTTAACAGTTCAAGTGCTAGGGAAACAGATGGTTAGTTTTGTCCTGGATGGGAATTTTCTTGGATGTAGCAAAAAGAGTGAAGCAAACCAAGGGGGTTTAAGGGAAATTGTTCAGTTCTTAAAAAACTGGTAGACATTTAGAGCTAAGCTGGACTGGGAAGAGTGAAAATAGATCTGATAGAGTGGGATGGACCAGGCTCCGAGATGGCGTCATGGCAGTGGTCAGGCCATTAATGCAAGGAATCAGGTTGGGGTTAGAGTGGGAGATGCCTGGGTAGGCGGGTCCCCAAGTGGAACACTTGCTTTGTGAAGTTGGAAGTCGGAATGTGGGTTTAATTATTGTCACTGACTCTTTACCCTCTCTGAGGGCTTCCTTTAGGAGTAAGATGTGGGGACCATTAGCTGACATAATGGTTATGTTGCTGGACTCCCACATAGTCTACCAGGGTTCGAGTCCCAGACCCAGTGGCTTAAAACTCAAACCGGTCATATGTGTGTGGGTGCCCAAAATCCTGAGAGGAGAATGGAGAAGAAGGGATTGCGGCTGGCCATCTCCTAGGGGGTGATTTCTCGCTTTCTATCTCTCTGACCAGCACACGCACCCTATAGCGAAAATCTCTCTTAGAGAAATAAAAAGGAGTAAGATTTGGTAAGCATAATGGCCAAGGAAACATGCTCTTTTCCTGAAAACTTGCTGTTATGAAAAGTAATTTAGGTGAGAGTGGCGTTGGAGCTTTAAGAGAGCAGATGTGCAAGTCAGTGACTGCAGCGACCCTTCTCCTCTGTCACATAGTCTACCAGGGTTCGAGTCCCAGACCCAGTGGCTTAAAACTCAAACCGGTCATATGTGTGTGGGTGCCCAAAATCCTGAGAGGAGAATGGAGAAGAAGGGATTGCGGCTGGCCATCTCCTAGGGGGTGATTTCTCGCTTTCTATCTCTCTGACCAGCACACGCACCCTATAGCGAAAATCTCTCTTAGAGAAATAAAAAGGAGTAAGATTTGGTAAGCATAATGGCCAAGGAAACATGCTCTTTTCCTGAAAACTTGCTGTTATGAAAAGTAATTTAGGTGAGAGTGGCGTTGGAGCTTTAAGAGAGCAGATGTGCAAGTCAGTGACTGCAGCGACCCTTCTCCTCTGTGTGCCCTGGGCCTGGCGAATACCCCCAGGGCGGGCTGGGGTAGAGGAGCCAAAGGGCATGTTTGCTCGTAATGGAGACAAGCAGCAGTGGGGGCGGGGAGGGTGATTTCATTGCGTGGTGAGGTCCAGGGGCTAAAAGGAGTGAAATGACTAGAACAAGACAGAAGAAAAGAGGGTGGGCTGCACTGGGGGAAGGGCTGGAGTATCTCATGGTCCCCCATGTGGACATCAAAGCTGCCAATATGATGGAAGATATGGGGTGGGATGAAGCCGGTACCCAGACCGGGCAAACTGGTGACCGAAAGGCTGGTGTATGGCATGCAGGAGGTGGAGGTGAAGCTGGGGGACTGGCTGAGGGTCAGGTTCCAGGGCATGTGCACAGAGGAGGTGGAGAGCTGAGCGCCTTCTACCTGCATAGCTGGGAAGAAGTTCAGGTGGCCAAATTTCCATCTGGATAGGGAGGTACAGGCTCCATTCACTGAACCGTCAGAGTGGGGAGTTTCAAACAGCACAATGGAAGGAAGGGCTTAGAGAGGAGGAGGATTGGGAAAAGAGCAGACATTATTCCAGGGATGAGACTAGAGGGAAGGGGTAGTGATGGTGTGAAGTACTTGGTGGGTTCCCGGGTCTCTGTGCTGCTCAGACTTCAGGGGCTGGTACATTCCTGGACTCTCATGAAGTGGGGGTCCTTACTCCGTGGTGCCAGGTGGGCTCGAGATGCTGCTGTTTTAGCAGCTTTAGCAGCTCCAGGTGGTGCAGAGGTCCATGCAGCACATGTGCCGAGCACTGGAGCCACTGTATTTAGAAGTGACCCAGGAGGGATGTCTGTAGCCGTGCTACTGAGCAGAGGTGTCCGTCAGCACGATCTGACATCTTCGTGGGTAATAGTGAGGGAGCCACATGGTGGCCTTGGGTGTGCGGTAAGTAGCAACATGTGGCTCTTATGGATCAGTGAGGTAGTGTTGTCCTGTCATCCTGTCTCTACTGGCTTCAGTGTGTGTCCGGACCCCAGCCAGTTGTGTTTACTCCTTGGCCTCAGGGTCAAATGCAGGTCCTTACTCATCTGAGGTCTCAGGGCTAACCAGTAATAGATGGACAGTTCTCCTGCTATACTGCTCCGATGGAGCGTGACAAACTATAAAAAGCCTTACTCTTATACAGAGCCCTTGGTACAGAACTGTGCCCTGTTTGGATAGCTCAGGGCTTTCATGATAAATCTAACTGATGGTCATAAAGAATACCGGGTAGCGATGGAAAAGTAATAAAAAGAACAGTTACTCAAATAACCATCATTGATGTTTTTATTTTTCTTTACTTGCCTATAATACTAGATCTGCAGTTTTATATCCTGTTTTTTCCTCTGAAATTATAAGCACTTTATATTTAGTTCTTCAGAAGCATTTTGAATAGCTACAAAAGTATATCCCATATGGCTCTGTAACACTTTGTTTATTGTTTGGAATATAGATTATTTTCTGTGTCCTTTTAATTTTTTCTAAAAATAAATCATTGATCACTTTTGAGCTGAAAACACTTCCCAGTTTTATGATTAATTTCAAAGATTAGTTTAAAAGATTCTTTGAAATTGAGTTACTGATAGAGAAAGATTCTCTTAAGAATCCTTGACATACATATTTTTCTTACAAAAAGTTTAGCAATACATATACAGTGTTTGAACCTGCCTGCTTATCTTGGTTAGATTTGAGTTTCATCTTCAAAATATTTGCAAGCCAGCAGGTATGTGGAGGTTAAGGCTCTGTATCCCACATGACTGACCAGTGTAGTTCTCATCTCGGACCCATTGGCTTGAGAATCACACAGGTTGCGAGTGTGTGCATGCCCAAAATCCCAAAAGGAGACTGGAGGAGAAGGGGTGCAGCTTTCTCTCTCTCTCTCTGGAGAGTGCATGTGCCCTAGAGCAAAAACTGAACCATCAGAACTTTGCTAATCTGGGTTCAGACAGTGGCACAGCAGTAGAATGCAGTGCTCTTCACGACTGACCCACATGGGAAGGTTCTAGGTTCACATCTAGAGACCTCCTTAAATATGCTGGGTGCACACGTTCTACGATCTGGGACTGCCAAGGCTGGGTGTAGATCCATCATGGTATCAAGACCCCATTGGGAGTGCTCTGTCTCTGTCTTTCTCTCTCTCTCGATCATGGAAGAAAGAAATAAACTTTAATTATTTTTTAGAATGATTTATTTATTTAATTTCATGTGATGTTGTTGTTTTTTTAATTTGAAAGAGAGAGAAAGGGAAAGCGAGAAAGCAAGCCTCCTGGTCTGGGATTAGAATTGCGATCGGCCATGTGGGAATCCAGCACTAACTATCATGCCACCTGCTGGTCCCTAAATTTTAAATGTTTATAAAATTTCCTAATTGAATAGATGAATAATTCTGTTGGCTTAATTTTTATTTTTTTTAATAATGAAATTTACCTTTCTGTAAGTTTAACCACTTGTATATTTTGAGAGAGCATCTATTCTCAATTTGTTTTTAAAAGAAATACATTTTGGGAACCAGCAGTTAGTGTAATGACTATGTCGCTGGACTCCCACATAGTTGACCGCGGTTCGCGTCCCGGACCCGGTGGCTTAAAACCCACGCCGGGCGTGTGTGCGTGCGTGCCCAAGATCCTAAGAGGAGAATGGAGGAGAAAGGATTGCGGCGTGACCATCCCCCCTGGGGGGTGATTTCTCGCTTTCTGTCTCTCTGTCTCTCTCTGTCTGTCTGGCGAGCGCACGCGCCCTATAGTGAAAAACCTCTCAAAAAAAAAAAAAAAAGAAATACATTTTGATATTAACCACTTAATCCTTCATATTATAATATTTTTCTGTTAGCTATGATTTTTTAAAACCAAATTTAGATATTAGTTCTATCACTCTCCCGTCTGTCTCTGAGATTGGAAAGTTTCTATGATTGTGCTCACACTCGCTTAAGAAAAGCTGATGGCTGAGAAGGGAGAGGGGACGTGGTGATACATCAGTCTGTGGAAAGAAGGCCACGACGTGGTGCTTCAATTTGCGGTATAGTATTCCTTCCACCCTTAGCTAAAATGCGATGAAACGGATCAGTGAATTATGTTCCACGTTTTCCAGGATGCAGCACCCCAGACTTCCCGGAGTGTGGGAGTGTCCCCTAATGGTACAGCTGAATGGTGACAAGTAAAACCTTTGAGGAAGATAGAGCAAGTGCACTTTTTTTTCTGAGCAGAAAATTGACTAATGGACCACCTGGGCAAAGGCTGAAATGATACTGAGCCCTCACCATTAGATTATATGAGATTAAATACCTGGGTTGGACTGCAGCTTGCTTCATAGTCTGAGCTGAGACGCGTGGATTTATGTAACCCGAGAGTGACAAATGTCCCTTCTCTTTTCACACAGGCAGCTATTCTCTACTTCATCACAAGCTTTTCTGCAGAGTCAGAAAGTGCACAGCTTTTTTCAGTCCGTCTCGGCAGACTCTCCACACAGTAAGCATCCTCGAGCCCTCCCCGGAAATGTGTTTTCTTTGCTAGGTTTTCGACTTTCCCACGTTGTTTTGTCTCGTTTGCCATTTTAGTTAAGTAGTGACATGTGATTTAGAAATACTTGTCATTTGTAATGATGCTTTTTGCACTGCGGTTTTAAAGCAGTGTGTGAGAGCTGATGCAACAAAGCAGAACTGTCAGAGAGACCTTGCGGTGCCGGTGCAGGGCACATGAGCTGGAGTTGCTTCCTCTAGTGTCACCTGTTGCCATGGGACCTTCCTTGCCACCCCCCGCCAGCGGCTCGGGCAGGAAAGATTAGCCTTACCATCCTCACTTTTCCTCTTTGTTTTCGGTCACTTCAGGACCGACCCAGTGTGGGCAGAGGGTGTCTTCTTTTTAGCCACTTTCTTAGTATGCTACCATGTTTTTAATTAGGCTTTTCTTTCATGCATAGACTCCTTACCTGCCAAGCCTCCCCATTCTCCCACATTCTAGTCTTCACTCTAACCTGTCCCAGAGTAATTACAAGGATGAATTTGATTGTTAACCTCTGTTACAGGCTTCCCATGTTTTGTATGAAATTTAAGTCTCTGCCATGAGCTTCCTTGAGCTGCCTTTCTGCTCACAGTCCAGCTGCTCAGAGGCTTAGCCTTTCTTGGTGCACTCTGCCACTTCCTGCCTTTGTGTCTTTGCTCATTCATACCCCTCTGTCACACAGCCCATTAAAATCATACCTGTTTTGGGGACAGCAGGTGGCGTAGTTAAGGCTCTGGACTCCCACATGGCTGACTGTGGTTCAAGTTCTGGACCTGGCAGTTTGAAAGTCACTCTGGGCATGTGTGCATGCGTGCCCAAAATCCTAAGAGGAGAAGGGATTGTGGTGTGACCATCCCCCCTGGGGAGTGATATCTCACTTTCCTTCTCTCTCTCTGATGAGTGTATGCACCCTTTGATAAAAACCTAAAAAAACAAATTAACAACAAAAATTCTGTTTTAAGACCCAACTGAAATATTACTTCTTCCATGAAGCTTTTCTGCTTTTTTCGTATGTTCCAGTGTGTTTGGTTTTCCTTGGTGTCTCAGAATTCATCACAGTCTGGCTTGTGGTTGTTTATGCACATTCTCCTCAGTCTTCCATTTGAATAAGTACTTGGCAGTAGGAGAATTCCTGCTCCATGCACAGCCACTAGAGCAAGGAACCTTTACTTTTGTTGAAATCTTTCCATCTGCCTTCAACAGTCACACTATCTTGTATCCAAAGAGGGACAAAAGCACATACTTTCTCAATTTGAAGAGGAGAGAAATAGATTAAGAATATGATTATTACGATATATGGGCTAGGTTTTAAAATTTCTTTCACTACTAGCATATATGCCTTTAGTATTTTAAACAGAATTAGCAACTAGAATTAAAAATATGGCTGTTCATGACTAGGCAACCAAGGTAAAATACACACTTCGTGGCTCGATGCATGCCTGAATAGTGGCAGTAGCTCTTGCAGAGGGTCCTGACATCCCTGAGCTGTGTCGAGCTAACTGAGCCAAGTGCGAGTACTTTCTAACAGTATCTGTGAGTAGCATCTGTTGTTATAAAAAAGAATCAGAATATCAGAATTCTACTGGTTGTCGGAAAAGTTGTGATGTATTTTTCTATTTTTCTATGCAAAAATGCACCGTGACTTTTCTGACAGCCCAGTAATTCAGGTTGCCAGGGTGCCCAGGAAAACCCACACAAGTGAGGATGTGTATATAAATAATAGAAAACTCAGGCCAGCAAGTGGCGTGGGACCCCACATGGCCGACCTTAGTTTGGGTCCTGGACCTGGAGGCTTGCTTTCTCACTTTCCTTTTCTCTCTGTCTCTGGTCAAAGTAAAAAATAATAATATGGAATATATTAATATAATATATAATAATGGAATTAAATAAATAAATAATTTTTTAGAAAAATAATAGGAAACTCATCTTGAGGGCTTGGCAGTATTGAAATTACATGAGCATCACTAAAGTAGATTTTGTTTTTGGAGAGGTTTTGCTATAGGGCGTGTGTGCTTGCCAGCCAGACAGAGAGAGACAGAGAGACAGAAAGCGAGAAATAACCCCCCAGGGAGGATGGCCACGCTGCCATCCCTTCTCCTCCATTCTCCTCTTGGGATCTTGGGCACGCACGCACACGCACCCGGCGTGAGTTTTAAGTCACCGGGTCTGGGATGTGAACCGTGGTCAACCACTTAGGAGTCCAGTGACATAGCCATTACGCTAACTACTGGTCCCGAAAGTAGATTTTGTTTTGAGGTCATAAATTAAAATACTGAATGAAAGTAACACCATTTGAGATTATCAGAAGTCTCGTCAACATAATGTCCCTGCCTATCTGAGTTGTTTCAGCAGTGAACACTGTTGTCAGGGGGCATTTGCACACACTGGCTTTATGGGGGAGGGAGGTTTGTTTTGTTTTTTAACTGACAAGCTCTTCTTGTTCCCTTGGGATGGAGTACAGTACTCATATTCCAAACACAACATGGAGAAAGCAATCTTAAACTCCTGAATGACTCAAGATTGGACTCTCGAATCCCAGTCTGTATTTTAATGGGGAGGTAACCCATTGCTATCAAAATGTGTCCAGTCAGTGCTGGCCTGCAAACTGCTGGCCACTGGTCTGGTGATAAAAGAACAGAAACCAAGAGTAGACAGAGAATTTTCTAGCAGTTCACTATTGTCATAATATTATTGTCACTTACAAAAATAACATTTCACAACCCAGTGGAAATTTAAAAAACAACAACTAAAACAAAATCCTTAGCACAGCACAGGTATTTGAGAATCACCTACTTGTTCATTTCCTCTTGCATATGAGTGCTTTTGAAGCTGACAGATACGAAGTGCGACTAGCGTGGTTCTTAGAGGAACAGTCTACTCTGTCTCAGGCTCTCCACCCACAGTCCGATGCATTGTGCTAAGTGATCTTGCTTTCTTTTTTTTTTTTTTTTGGGGGGGGGAGATTTTCACTGTAGGGTGCGTGTGCTCGCCAGACAGACAGAGAGAGAGAGACAGAGAGACAGAAAGCGAGAAATCACCCCCCAGGGGGGATGGTCATGCCGCAATCCCTTCTCCTCCATTCTCCTCTCGGGATCTTGGGCACGCACACACACGCGCCTGGCGTGAGTTTTAAGCCACCGGGTCCGGGACCCAAACCGCGGTCGACTATGTTGGAGTCCAGCGACATAGCCATTACGCTAACTGCTGGTTCCCTGTGATCTTGCTTTCTTAAAGGTCCTGACAAATAGAAATGTTTTCTCTACCTCACCAAGAACCTTCTACTCTCCATTGGCAGAAAGATAGTCACTATATTCATTTTTTTCTCTTTCATGATTTTTCTAAAAAGTTAATAGTGTTGACTCTTTCCTGCAGATAACCTACAATCCTCTATGAAAACTTCTAAGATATTAGAACACTTAAAAGAGGACAGCTCAGAAGCTTCAAGTCAAGAAGAAGGTAAATGTAAATTCACTAAGTTAAGTCCTGCTGGCCGATGTTGGCACAGAGATAGAACAGTTTAAAGAGCGAGAAGCAGACATCTGGGAATCCGAAAGTGTCAGAGGTGGCCTACCAAACACTTGGGAAAGAATAGATGGTTCAATAAATGGTGTTGGCACAATTGCATGTCTTTGTCAAAAAAACGTATTGTAGTTAGATCCCTGCTCACACTGTGTGTAAGAATTTCAGGCAGATAGCAGCTTGTGTGTAAAATGAAAGCTTTGAAATGGTGAGCTCAGAGGAGGAGGCTCTTGGACAAGCAGAGCATGAGCACAGCAGAGTGTCTATTGATCTGATGGAGCTCACAGGTGAGGAAGAGACTGTACAATTAGAAGATCCACGGATGGGGATGAGGAGGAGGAGGCTCTCGGACAAGCAGAGCACGAGCACAGCAGGGCGTCTATTGATCTGATGGAGCTCACAGGTGAGGAAGAGACTGTACAATTAGAAGACCCACGGATGGGGATGCTGTTTGTTCAGCAAGCAGAGCACGAGCACAGCAGGGTGTCTATTGATCTGATGGAGCTCACAGGTGAGGAAGAGACTGTACAATTAGAAGATCCACGGATGGGGATGCTGTTTGCAGAGTAATTCCAGAAAAAAAAATGATATCCATATTACATAAAGATCCTCCTGAAAAATCGGTGAGAAAACAGCCCCGCTGAAATACGGGTGAACGATGTAAGTAACAACCTCACACCAGAGACTTGAACAGTCTTTAAACAGCATGCAGCCTCCCTGGAAGTGGAGCAGATGCAGATGAAAACAGGCATCATTTCACACTTGTCAGATTGGCAAAACATTCGCGAGTCTGACATTATCAAGGATGTGGAGCACGGGGAGCTCTCATGCACTTTGGTGGAGATATAAGTCGGTACCACTGTTTGGGACAAATTTAGTGCTATGTAGAGAGATTAGAGAGGTGGGAGATCATTTCATGCGGCTGGTCAGTGATCCACGTCTTTGAGAGTGGCTGTGCCATGTGCCGGCGGGGGCCAGGACAGCAGTACTTGCAGCAGCATTCTTGGTAAAAGAGGGAATTGCCTGAGTGTCTCGGATGCTGATAAAAGTTATAAATAAATTGTGGTGTATGGCTAGGTGGCAGTTAAAGTAAAGGGTATTCATAGCATCTTTAAACATGCAGCACCACAGTTTGTGTTTAGGAACACACAGGTATGTGAGTAGTTAAAAACTGGCAGTAGAATATTTCAACAACTTAGGTGTAGGTTACCTCCGTGGAGGGAGGGAGGTGGGTGAAATGGAGACAGATCTTCTGTCTGTGATATTTTGTTTCTTTTTAAAAAGACAATTAAAGAGCAGTCTTGAGAGTAGGAATATGTGGGTGTTTGTATATTGAAGAATACATGTTTTTGAATGGAATCGAGTGTTGCTTGGTGATAGGGACAAGTTCTGAGAAATGTATTGTGAGGCGATTTCGAGAACATCACAGAGTGAACTCACACAAACCCGGTGGAACAGCCCACCACACACCTAGGCTACATGGCAGAACCAGTTTGCTTCTTAGGGGCCACGATGAGCAAAACAGCAACGAGAGTAAATCAAGCACCAGAGAAATGCTGCAGTCAACAGATGTGAACACGAGATGTGTGAGGTTGCTGCCGGCGTAACACAGCTTGTTTCACAGTGAGCTTCCTACATGGAGGCGCACTCTAAATTAGTGATGAAAGGCACACCGCAGTAAACCCATTCAGAGGCTGTGTATCAAGTGTATGTAATGATGTGTTTACTTGTACACGCCTGGCAGCACAGTAGGTCTGTTTACGCCAGCATCAGCACCACCTCTGATGTGAGTAACACATCGCATTTTGACAGCTCTGGCTGCAGTGTCACTAGGTTATAGGAGTTGTTCAGCTCATTCGTAATCTTTTTTTTTTTGGAGAGGTTTTTGCTATAGGGCGCGTGCGCTCGCCAGACAGACAGAGAGAGACAGAGAGACAGAAAGCGAGAAATCACCTCCCCAGGGGGATGGCCATGCTGCAATCCCTTCTCCTCCATTCTCCTCTTGGGATCTTGGGCACGCACGCACACGCGCCCGGCGTGAGTTTTAAGCTACCAGGTCCGGGACGCAAACCGCGGTCGACTACTTGGGAGTCCAGCGACACAGCCATTACGCTAACTGCTGGTCTCTGGCTCATTTGTAATCTTAAGAGACTGCTTTTGTATATGTGGTCTATCACTGACTGTACGGTCATTATACAGTATTATGCAGCTCTATTTGAGACACTTCATTTTCTTCTTTTTTTTTTTTTTTTTATTGTTTATTTGTTTTCATTTTAAATTTTTGCCCTAGGACATGTGCACTTGTTGGAAAGAGACAGAGAGGGAGGGAAAGTGAGAAATCACCCCCCCAGAGGGGTCGGCCATGCTGCAATCCCTACTCCATTCTCTCGTTGGGATTTCAGACATGCATACACACATGCCTGGCGTGTTTTTCAAGATGCTAGGTCCGGGACTCATACTGCAGAGAGGGTGTGGTGGGATCCAGTGCCTTAACTACCACACCACCTGCTGGCTCAAAACACTTTTTCAATGGCTAAAAAAGTAATACCTAAAATCCAATGTTGTGTTTTGTGGTGGCATGATCTAATAAGACTTTCTTATTTGGGACAAGATCGATTTGGTAGAACAGAGTTGAGAGGATGCTTAAGATACTTCATTTGCATATCTTGTGGAGAAATGCTTGGAAGTGCTTCCCCTAGTCTGTCACCACTTTTATGGCAGCATAAATGAGTAGCCTCATGCTTTTGGATTTTCGCTGCAGCGTTGACTATAATAAATTAATCTATTGTCCCCCTACTCTAGATGTGTTGCAGCACACCATAATCCACAAAAAGCATGCCGGGAAGAGTCCTGTTGTGAAGTAGGTATCTGCTCTGTATCTAATGTCTAAAATTTTTTTACATTTTCAATTAATTTAATATTTAATGATGTTACCAATACATTTGACTGTGATTCTTCCATTTCACTGTTTACTTTTCATATATCTTCACTTTTTCTGTTTCCTTTTCTCTCCCTTCGCCTTCTCTTACGTTTTTTGTTCTGTTTTTTTCTTCTAGTAGCCTTGATAATCATATTGTTTTTCTGTTCTAGTGGTTGCTCTCCAAGATTATATTCAACATCTTTGACTTATTATGAATTCCAGTGTTAATTTGTGCATGTATCATGTCCTAATTTGAGGACTGTGGCTCACCTTACCTCTGTTTCTGTCCTGGCTTACATCATGGCTGTCATGCATTTTCATTCTCTGTGTATCATTTTTAAACTCTGTGAAACTATATTTCATATTTATGTAGGTTTTACTGTTCTTTTACTCTTCACTCCAACCTGTCTCTAAGCCATTTGTCTACCTGTGATCGTTCTCCTCCTAAGGCCTAGTACTTGCTGTGTTCACATCTTCTGGTACTGGTGGTGAATACACTACTTTTTATCTAGGAAAAGATAGTTGTCTGCCTCATTTCTAAAAGCAGTTTTTACTGGAAATGGGATTCTAGGTTGGCAGCTACTATCTTTTAACTCTTTGAAACTGTCGTTCCATTGTCCTCTGGTCTTGTTCCTTTGGTCCCTGTGTCATATCCTCTCAGCTCCTACCCCCTCCCCCCGTTTCTCCTGCAGATTTTATGAGATTGTGTATGTAGTTTCTGACTCACAGCACACTGGTACTGCACTCCCCCCCCCCAACATCTGCCAGAATTCCTCCCACTTTCTGCCCCAGGGCCTTTGCTGAATCTGTAGGGCCTGCTTCCAGCCTCTGAGGAGATAATTCTGGGAGGTGTCCCAGCAGCTTTGAGCCCCTGATGCTTCTGGGCCCTTCACTGAAGTTCTTTGCTATTTCACTTCTCCACTCCTTCCACCTGCTCTCTGGAATGACTTCCCAGATAAACCACATCATTACAAGCTCTGCTTTCGAGGGGACCTCAAACAGAACTTTTTTTTTCTGTATTTTTTTTTTTCCTCTTAGAGTTTCAGTCTATTTTCTTGGGGCTATATTTCCTATTCATTGATTTTCTTTCTTCCCATCCATTGATACCTTAATATCAGTTGATTTTACAGTTGTAGGTTAAATGTGGTTCTTCGTTATATTTTCCAGTACTCTTACAAAATTCTCAATCTCATCATAGTCATTGATTATGTTAAGCACTATAATTACCTGAAAGCCCACATCCATAACTTCATCATCTAGATTCGCTTCGGGCCTGTTTCTGATGGGTGTTTTTAGTTCGCAATTGCGTTACTGTCCCTTCGTATGCCTAGTTACACGTAGTATACCGTACAAAACCCTCCCATGATACAGGGTTAGGTAAGTGTCTCCCTTCCACCCGGAATTAGTATGAGGTGCCCACCATAGCCTAGACTCCGAAGGCAGAAAGTGCATTCATTGCTCTAGTTAGATGGGTGCTAATGGTAAAATCAGTGTGGACTGGTTTATTTCTCACAGTATAGTTTTTGCTCTTAGACCTGCTGCTAGGCACTCTGTAACACTGCACTGAAGGAAAGGTTACGTAGCTGCTGCTTTGAAATGATATGGCAGTTTAGATGATCAAGAACAGATTTTCACATTGTCACACTTTTTCGATAGCACTGTTGGCACGAGTTGCTCCCCACTGGGTGGGCTCACCATGCAGTATTCTGAGCAGAACGGAGTTGTGGACTGGAGGAAGCAAAGCTGCACCGCCTCGCAGCCCGCTGAGCATTGTGTGGCCTTAGCCGACCAGGTATACGAGGCTTGGTTGGGTCTTGATGCCATGTGGTTAGAACACTGCTACCCTCTGGAAACTGAGTTGTACAAGCATTCCGTCAGACAGGATATCTGCAGAAGAAATGAAGGACTGCTGAAGGGTTAGACTTCATTGTGAACTGGCATATATGATTAAAGCTCTTGCATGACCTAAAAATGTATCATTTGCTCATGTAAAATTAGTACACGCTATTGTGGCCCCAAAAATGGTTATTTCCAACTAGGGGTACATGATAATGTGCCAGGTTTGTTTTTTTTTTCTTTCGGTCTTAAAAGAATTATTCAACATTTCATTCACTGTCTTGTTATTGGTGAAGTAAATTTTCAAACTGACCTTTTTCTATGAGTCCTTGGGGCAGTTTCCCAGTGGTCCTGAATTTAAGGAGGGAGCATGTGCTCTCTCAGGACTGGGCGTGGTCACCGAGGAGCATGCGCTCTGGGGCTTTACTGGAGCGCGTGCCCCCAGTAGAGGGGACTCGTACGGCAGGACTCCTCAGCCTGATGTTATCTCAGATCCAGATATTGACTCCTTCTGGAATGTGTTTTTATGAATTGAAGCATATTTTGAGAACTTGCAAGCCGTCTCAGTCGGGCTTAATGGCCTATTTTCAAAACCCACCCGATCCTGTTTTCCTCCCTGCTGCGGTGGCCTCTCCCCTGAGTGCTGACAGAGTTGCATCTCCAGTTTAATAAACTGGACCTTAAAAGGATACGGTGAATCTGCGGGGAACACCAGTCACTGTATTGTGCTTGGTTTTGAAGTCAGATAAAAGAATCTAGTTCCATTTTAAAAGAAAAACAGAAAATAGAAATACTTCTTTTTGTGATTAATATTAATGTGTCACAGTATATAAATTTTAGTGATTTAGTTAAGTTGAGAATCAAAATTTGTTAGACTGCGTACCTGGGGGTGTATCATTTTCATGTTTGATGTCGGAGTTAAAGGATACCTGCCTCGGTGTGGTTTGGCTTAGTATGTTTGACTTGTCTTCTTTCTGCTAGCATTCTACTGAAAAACGGAGCTTATCTTCAATAAATAAGAAGAAAGGAAAGCCACAAATGGAAAAGTAGGTTCCATTTTAACATTTCTAGTAATAGGAATTGGTAAGGAAAGATGGCCTGTAGCATTTGATTGTGGCTGTGTATAGTATTTTCTCCATTATTTATCTTTTCATATTTAATTCTGGGATTTATTTATTTTTATTTTTTTAAAGAGAGATTTTTGCTATAGTGTACACGTACTCACTAGAGAGAGACAAAGTGAGAAATGACCCCTCAGGGTGGGTGACCATGCCACAGTCCCTTCTCTTCTATTCTCTTCTCGGCATTTTGAGCATGCATACATCATGAGTTTAAGCCACCGGGTCCAGGACCCAAACCACAGTCAACCACATGAGAGTCCAGCAACCTAACCATTATGCCATCCGCTGGTCCCCTGGGCTTTATTTTTTTGTAGTTCAAGATATCAACATAGGGACCAGTAGTTAGCTTAATGGCTGTGTTACTGAACTCCCACGTAGTAAACTGGAGTTTGAATTCTGGACCCGGTGGCTTAAACTCATGCCAGGTGCGCGTGCGTGCATGCCCAAGATCCTGAGGAGAATGGAGGAGAAGGAATTTGCGGTGTGGCCATCCCCCCTAGGGGGGTGATTTCTTATTTTCTGTCTCTGTCTCTCTGTCTGTCTCTGTCTTTCTGGTGAGTGCACGCATCCTATAGCAAAAACCTTTCCAAAAAAAAAAAGATATCAACATATACAAATGATAAAACTGTTGTCAAACATTGTGTTCAGCACAGAAGGAAAAACTCTCAGAACCACACACTAAAGGGAGAATCTTACTTGTGTTAGATTATGTCTTACTAGGAATTTTAGTAATATTCTACTTAATATATTTGGTAGAGAACCTTATTAAAAATGTTGGCAATGTGGATGTTTGCCTTAGGGAGAAAATTAAGAAAGCTGACAACAGGCTGAACAGTAGAATGAACGGTGTCAGACTTGCCCCGCCTCCGCATGCCCACAGTGGTGCTGTGAAAGGTAAGAACGTTTCTTCTTTCAGACACCCCTCACCTACATACACCCCTCACCTACATACTGGAGAGTCAGACCTTGCTTCATTAGGAGGTATCGAGCTGTTGTGTCAGACTGTAACACTGTCAGTGTATCTTGCATGGACGGGATCAGACAGTTCTAGAATGAACAGAGGTAACTTAGGCGCATGAGCCACCGCGGAGGTGAGCGCTACCTCTGTGCTGTTGCTCTTGGCACCGACTCATCTCCCTCCCAAGCCAGTCGCTCCAGAGTGGGCAGGGCCCCGGCTCTGGAGGCTCTTTCTATGACCACCTTCTGGAGGGTGGGTACGTCCTTATGTGAAGTCATTCTTGGGAATATTAATTACCGTCTTCATGGTTTGTCCTTTATGGAGTTGTACGGGATCTTTCCGGGAATCCTTACCCTCGCATTTTTGTTATCCTAGTTGTGTGCGGTTTCCATTTGCCCACCATCATTTCAGGGTTCCTTTATATTTAGGTTCAAGGTTCATTTGACTGAGAAGTGTGCTTTCTGCTGGTTCATTAGTTTTCTGTGTTTTGTTCACCTTTACTATTTATGGAAAAGATTTTAAAGTAATAAAAGTCCATAGACCTCTAGGAAACTGTTTTGTCTACATGTGTTTCTAACACATTTATTGACCCCACAAATAGGATATTTTATTATTTTATTTATTTTGGGGGGATTTTTGTTTTTAAGAGATTTTTTTTTATAGGGCATGTGTGCTCACTGGAGAGTCAGAGAGACAGAAAGTGAGACATCACTCCCCAGGGAGGATGGCCACGCCCTGATCCCTTCTCCTCCATCCTCTCAGGACTTTGGGTGCACACACACACTCAACCAGGTCCAGAACTTGAACCGTGGTCGACTACATGGATGTCCAGTGATGTAGCCATTCCATCATCTGCTGGTCCCAGGACTTTTTATTCTGAGCTGTATTTTAACATTAATAAATTCTGTTGTGATACAAAATTAAAAAAAAAAAAACAGAATATATTTCTTAGATAAAGTATTTTTTAACTAGGTATTTGTGTAGAGAGACTGAAAAGTAATGAAAGAAAAATGATTTTATTTTGAATCTAATAATCACCTGTCGAACTTATTGAATCAGCTGACCCGGGCGGGGCGGGGAATGATGTGGGGGAGTCTCTGAGGATCTAAGTTCAGGAGGACATTGGACACTTACTGTGCCTGAGGTTCCCTGTACTGAGCAGCTAAAGGAAGAGGAAAAGGCTAAATAGGGAAGACGAAAGGTGTCTGCTGGTGGACAAGTGAAAAGCAGCTTCTGCCAGGCCTCCTATCTGTCCCTTCCAGCTCATTGTCTGTACTGCTGCCATATTCGCCTTCTAAAGTATCTACTTAACTGAGTCATTCTCCTGGTGAAATTCCTATTAAAAATAAAATTCTTCCTCTGCACGATCACTCTGTCTCTCCCTCCTACCATTTGGATACTATGCCTCCACAAAAGTGTTTGCCTCCATTCTTGCCTTTTATTTCAAGGGAAGCGTGTAAGCTGCGATCAGAGGCAGCGACGCGTTTGAATCTTCTGTCCCTTCAGTTTCTTACATGTGTACCCTCTCTGAAAACTTTCTCATTTTGTCAAACAAGAGTGATGCCGACCTCACTGGATTGTAAGAGTTAGATATAGGGGACTGCAGATGTCATCGCAGTTACGTCACTGGACTCCCACATGGCTGACTGCAGTTCTGAGTCCCAGACCCGGAGGCTTGAAAATTATGCCAGGCGCATGTGTGTACATGCCCAAGATCCCAGGAGGAGAATGGAGGAGAAGGGATTGTGGTGTGGCTGTTCCCCTTGGGGCGTGATTTCTTACTCTTCCTCTCATTGTCTCTGTCTCTCCCTTCCTCTCTCCAGCGAGCACACTGCCCTAAGGCAAAAACTCCTTTAAAAATATGAAAAATTAGGTATAACAACAGGATAGCCTCATCGGCATGGCAGTAACACAGCATTCCTCAGTGCTGAAACCATGATGAGAAAGCCCTGGGTTTGCATTGTAAGGTCTCCCTGCACCCAGGGGGCATGCCTGCATGCCCATGATCTAAGCTGGAAGGCTTGGGGGAGCATCAAAGCATGAAGATTCTATCAGAAGTATGCACGTGTCCCCTCCTTTGGAATAGATAAATCAAACTCAAGTATAATAGCATATGAAAAGTATTTACCTAGTACTGAATGCCTTGGTGTTCAATAATTTAGTTCATTTTCTCCGTTCAATAAGCTAGAAGAAAAAATACATTGTATATATAGATTATTCAGAACTTTGTTGTAACATCCTAGGCTCCCATTCCTTTTTTTGTTTTTTTTTTTTTCTTTTATCTCTCAGTTTTCAAGTGTTAGGAAAATAACAACCTCAGGATTTTTGATTAAGCTAAACCTTATTCTGTCTATTTTTGTCCTCTGTATATGTCACTGATTCAAATATATTTACACTTATGGAGTATCTGACTATGAGTAAAACATGTTTTGTACAGCCTGTCTGATGTCAGATGTAGCTCAGATGTATGCTGACTCCGACGTAAAACCAATCTCTGTTTATTAGTTTCCTTTTAATTATTAAGGCACCAAGAAGGAATTTTCTTTAAACATTCAATAAACTCAAGATATATTTAAAGTTGTTTCTCTTATGGAAAATAGCTCATGTTGTAAAATGTACATACTGTATTGAGGCCGAAAATACTGGGTCTTTTTAACTAGTAGGTTCAGATCGTTAATACATTCTAGCTTATAGTGTATATTTTTTACTTTTAACTTTTTAATAAATGACTACTAATTTTAAGATACAACTTCTGTTTGAAGTAATAATGCATTCACATTCATGCTTACAATTTGAAAAATACAGAAGGGAACAAAATAAGGATCCCTCCTTGCTTCTCTCCATGCTGTCTGTCCCGAGGAGCTGTTGGCGCCGTTAGTCATCGCAGTTCTCTGTGGTGTGTTTTACTTTAACCCCACGCTCTCTGTCTCTTAGAAAGATGTCTGTGTTGTCTCAGACTCGTAAGAACGCACACTCTTGTAATTTGCACCCGGGGTTCGCCATCCACTCTTATGTTGTGGATTGTCACACCAAAATGTTGGGGGGGAAGTGAGGTGATTGACCTCTAAGGTTTAGAATGACCTAAAGATCTCCCGCCTCCTGTAATAACCCAGGTGATAGCTGTGGTCCTGTCACTATGATTTATAAATGTTTCTTAACTCAGTCAGAAACTTGCATTGTTCATAATTACCAGTAACTAGAAATTTATTACTAGAATAGTGGTTTATAACGTAAGCCACTTGTAGTCTTAGTTATGTGGACTTTTTATTACTCAAGAAACAATAAAATTCTTTTTTGTTGCTGTTTTTAGAGATTTTTGCTGTAGGGTGCATGCACTTGCCAGAGAGAAAGAGAAATCACCCCTCCCGGTGGGCGGGAGTTGGGGGTATGGCTATACTGCACTCCTTTCTCCAGTCTCCTCTTGGGATCTGGAGCATGCATGCATACAAACCAGATGTAATTTTCAAGCTGCCTGGTCCAGGACTCAAACCATGATCGACCATGGGGGAGTCCAGCACCTTAACCACTACATCACCTGCTGTCCCTGATGATGAAAAAATTTTAAAGTAGGCATTTCTATTTAAACGGTGATTTGTGGGGCTAGCCTCATAGCCTAATGGTTAAGGGAACTGAATCCCACAGTTCTATCTGACACAATTTGCATCCTGGCCCTGGTGGCTTAAAAATACCATGCATGTGGGACCAGCAGATGGCCTAGTGGTTACATTACTGGACTCCCATGTAGCCACCTGCGGTTTGAGTCCCAGACCTGGTGGCTTAAAACTCACACCAGGTGCATGTGCATGCATGTGTGCTTAGAGTCCTGAGGGGAGAATGAAGGAAAAGGGATTGCAGTGTGGCCATCTCTTCTGGTGGAGGGAGGTGATTTTTCACTTTCTCTCTTACTCTTTCTTTCTACTGAGCACATGCACCTTGTAACAACAACAACAACAACAACAACAATTTAGTATAGATTTTTATTTATGTATTCTTTGAAAACTATTATAATTTAGCATTTGACAATTTGGTGATTAGAATATATTAGTACATTATAAAGAAAAGTACATTATAAATTGTGCCATTTGGAGAAATAACTAATTTTAAGTATATGTCTGGGACCAGCAGATGGCATAATGGTTACTTTGCTGGACACCCACGTAGTCAACCACAGTTTGAGTCCTGGATCCAGTGGCTTAAACTCACACCAGGCATGTATACGTACATGCCCAAGATCTCGAGAGAATAGAGGAGAAGGGATTACAACATGGCCACCCCACCCTAGCAAAAATCTATAGAACAAACAAACAAATAAAAAGTATATATCTGAATCTTGCCACTGTGGCACAGCGGATCGTCTTCAAGCTGCCGTGTGTGGACTTGCATCCCTTTCTTTAGCTGTGTTGCAGCTGATAACTTAGAGCCTGTGATTGTACATAAACATACTCCAAATATACTCCAAATAAAATTATTCCTGGTCCCTGTCACCCCTCTGGCATTTAGCCTGTGAGATTTTTTGCAGTTTTTCCCTTAGTACTTGATATTTATTCCCCACAAGAAATTAGCAATATCTGCATTCTTTATCTTTCCTCAGCATCTATTAAACCTTTAAGGCTAAGTCATCTTTAACCATCTTAACAGTTTCGTAAATTTCTCTCATTTAAAACACACAGGTTAGCCAACCAAGTTGTTCATTACACAGAGTATGTCTCTTCTCTGACACTTTTACCCACATAGTTAATAATCATTACCTTTTATTTATTTTGCCAGGTTGCCATGGAAACGATTCACTCATCTATTATGTTTTGTTTATTAATTGCTAGGGAATTCATGCACTCACCAAAGAAATCCCTCCTCCGACCTCATGGGGGATAGTCATGCGGCAGTTCCTTTTCTCCCAGTTCTCCCTCCGATCAGGATTTTGGGCATGCACACACACACGCTCAACATGTTTTTAAGCCTCTAGGGGGAAGACTCAAATCCTAGTTGGCCATGTGAAATCTGGCTCCCAGTACACATTACTTAACCACTGTTGTCGGTGCTGGCCCTTCTCTGTTGTTCTTAAGAACCCTCTGGAATCCCCTCTAGAAGGATTTATACATTTGACATATATTGAATGCTTTCTGTAAGACAAAAGCTATGCTATTTACTGGGTTTTCCAGAAACAAATAGGGTCGTTCCCCGTCTGGATCAGTGTAAAAATGTTCAACCCCTGCTGTACCAGAAACGTCTTCTTATGTACTCAGAATAGATGCAGATACGTGATCATGGTATGTGCTACACCTCACCTCAGTGTAGCCTTGGCCATTGAGCAGAACTCAAGGAGCTACTCAGGCTCCTAGAGGGGAAGCATTTTATTTTTCTAATACACAGGCCTAGTAATTTTAACGGATAGGCATTTTTGAAGTTTTTTATATTCTCCAGCTCTTTTTAAAGAATGGAGTTTTCAGCAGGCTCTAAGGAACTAAAATATCTAGGCTTAGATGGCCCAACATTGGTGGCACAGTTGGTAGCATAGTGAACTGCAGTGCTAGAAGCCATGTAGGTCTTGAATGATTTGAGATGTGGAGAACATGAATACACACAGGATCCTGATGAGCAGGAGGACTGGGAGAAGGGGATTGGCTCAAGGTGTGACAAGACTGGGGTGACTCTT